CAAACAGCATTGCTCAGCAGCTTCCACCAACACTGACCCCCAAAGAAGCAGAGAGAGAAATAAAGTCAAGCCAGAATTCACTCATTAACCCCTTCTGAAGTCTTCCAGGATCCGGGCATACAAACTATGACGCACCTGACCGGAGGCAAAGCAAACTCACTCCCAGGAAGGTTTGTAGGGCACAAGGCACAGAGGGTGGAACTGCCCTGACCCAGGACCTTCAACGCCCCCTGCAGAGCAGGAGTGGGCCGGGCCGAGGCAGGACGCTTTCTGGGCTGGGGGAGGGGTGTGCGGCCCCACACGGGTGCTTTGGGAGCTTCTTCATGGCCAACACAGACCCAACACCCTGGGCCACACCCTGGAGCCTGACCGCAGGTTCACTCCCAAGCTGAAGCTTTCTCCTCCCCACCGCAAGCACCGCCCACGCGCCTGGATGCAGGGTAATTCCTCCAGGTAACTCACCACCATCATCAGGGGCACTCTATGCAGAGCGTTCTGTTCCGTCCTGAACAGAGCAGGGAACACTCCCTGAGATCACTGCTGGGTTCCAAAGGAAGGAAGACCTTTCCAGATCTAGAGATCCACAAAGCCGGCGCGCATCCACATGAGGGGATATGGAAGAGCTCACAGGGGCTCCTGCAGGTGCTGGGCGTGCAGTCACATGCCACTGCCTCAGGTGCAGTGCTAATAAAAAGGTCACTTTGATGACTCACTTGTTTGTGAAGCAGGAGAGGGCAACGTACACTCACACGCCTGTCTGAGGAACATGCTAGACAAGACTTACAGGCAGGTAAGTGATCTGGAGTGAGCTGATGGAGCTGGGGGCCACGCTGGAGCAGCAAGCCCTGCACAGAAGGGGTCTCCCTGCCACGGGCGTCCGCTGCCCAGCCGGGAGCCCTCCAGAAACAAGGAAGCTGCACACAGAGGGCGCCTCACAACAGAGGAGAGCAAGTGATGCGCACTAACAGGTATGTCCTTCCCAGGAGGGCCAGAGGCCTGAGGCTCCTGCTACAGCTCCTTCAAAGGAAAAGACATTCTCATGATGCTGCGTCCTGAGAACCAGCTGCTCCAAACCTCCTGTGACCCCCAGCAGCCCCACTCAGGAAGCCCACGCACCCTCAGATCCAGCAACTTCAACCTGATGAAGAGAGCTGGCCCCTGGGGTCAGCAAGCTGCCACCCTGACCACAAAGACCTGCTCCTGCTGCACACATCTGAACCTTGAAACCCTAGACACGGAAAGCATGTTCCACAACCAGAGGCGTTCTCTTCTCTGCTGGAGGCCAGAGGATGCCTGCAGGGACCTGGAAGTCTGCCCTGCCCCTGAAAGCACATGGAGTCTTTCTAGGAGTGGACACTCCTCTCTGCTTCTGGTCCAGGCCACTGTGAGCCTCCGGAGACTCTGCAAGCAGGCAGGTCTCCACATTTTACACAATATTGCCCCACTTCACCGAGTATGTCAGAGGAAGTGTGGCAATGCCCCACAGCCCGACAAAGGGAACAGTGAGGCAGGAGGGTCCTGTCCCTCTAACTCCTGGCTGTGTGGGGCCACACGAGGCCTGCTGGTTGGAGTAGGAGAGGTGGCCAACACGGCTGAGCCGACCCTCAGAAGCATGCATTCATGTCCCGGGAAAACACTGTGACTCTGATGAAACCCAACCCTCCGCGTGCTCTTCTGAACATGCGCAAACACACACGCTGCCAGCCTCCTGGGAGTGTGCAGTGACCCTGCAGCCAGGCTTTAGAAAGCAATGCCACCACTGCACAGTCAGCTCAGCCACCCAGCACCTGAGTCAGGAGTTACCAGCTCTGGGACAGTGTGCTGTCAAGGCCAGGTCCAGGAAGCTGTGGCTGACGCAGGGGCCTAACGCCCCCAGTGGGCCTTACACTCCCCACGCCCCTAAAAAGGAACCCAGAGCTCTTCCTCTCTGGCCCTTTTCGACCCCTCCTCTAGGCTGAGGCCAAGAGCACAAGTTTCCGGAGAGCCTGGTGCTGCTGAAGCCATGCCAGGGGGAGGCACACTCAGCATCAGTCCAGGTGACAACGCTTTGCCAGCCCTGAGTGACAGGTCGGAGATGCTGCACCACACTTGGCAAACGGCAGGCAATTCAGCAAACAGCAGATGCTCCGGGCAGGCAGACGGGACACACAAGAGCCCAAGAGACAAAGCAAGGGGAGAGAGCAGGGACCAGGAAAGGAAAGTCCAACAGGGAAGCCGGCACTCCCCGAAATACGGAGGGATCTGGGGAGGCTGGATATTGACTGCTCAGTTCATTGGGGGCCATCCAGGCCTTCTAAGGAAACATCCCATTCGGCTGGGTCCAGGCCCCCATGAGAGGGGACAAGGTCCATGCCGTCTCACTGACCCTGCTAAGCACTTCGTTATGTTATATACTTAAATTAAGAGGCACATTCAAGCAGGCAAGCGCCAGTGATGCAATCTATCTTGTGTATTTTAGCCATGCAACTGGAGGTTAAAAAACAAATGTTCAGTAACTCATTGTCGAGCTATTTCTTTCCAGCACAAGGCACTGACTTCCTCAGCAGTAGGTAAACACCTCAGGGGAACAGTCTGCCTGTAAGGACCTGTCATCTGTGCATGCTTGAGACAGGGTCCCAAGAGCAGCCCAGTAGCGCCTGCCACCAGACCTGGGTCCATGACACCTTCCCTGGACCCATGACACGCTCCCCCAGACCTATGACACATTCCCTCAGACTCCCAGATGATCCCAGACCCATGACATCTTCCCTTATGCCCACGACACCTTCTCCTGGACCCATGACACCTTCCCCCAGTCCCCTGACACTCTACCTGGACCCCAGATCCCGGACCCATGACACCTTTCCCTAGGCCCGCAACACCTTCCCCAAGACTCATGACACCTTTCCCCAGGCCTGTGACACCTTCTCCAGGACCCATGACACCTTTCCCTAGACCCACACCTTCTCTGGGACCCTTGACAACTTCCCCCACACCCATAACACCTTCCGCAGACCCCAGATCCTGGACCCATGACACCTTCCCCCAGGCCCATGACACCTT